CTCTGTTCCCCACTGCCCGAGCTGCTCAGCGTGTCAGTGAATGTAAATCTGTGGCAGAACACACAACACTCCCATCTCCTGCTCTACTCCTCTGAGCAGAGTAATTACAGTGCAGCAGTGCCAGCACGAGGCATTTCTGCTGATGAATGCACTCAATCTAAGCACAGTTTTATGTATCATTAATTCCTTTAGCATTCAAAAAAATAACTTTTTTGATGGCAGATAATACTGTAATCASTCACAATTGCCAATAAATTTGTCTTCATTGAGCTGTGTAAAACAACTACAGGAGTAATTTTACTCACTTAAATTTTCTTTCTTTTTTTTCCTTCTTATTTATTTTTTAATGCAAAGCTGTTTGGACTCAGATCACTGTAACACAAACACTGCTAGAAATAAGTCCCCACTCCCTCATTTATGTAGAGAAAAGATTTTGAGAGGCTGTTGCTTAAGGAGTTTCCAGCAATCTCTGGGATCTCCCGAGGGGTCCCTTCCATCCTAGGGATCCCTCTGCTATGATCTCTTCAGCTTTTCCTCCAAGCTACCATGCAACAGCTGCTAAACACACACGGAGCTAGAGAGTTTGTGCAAGTCATGGTCCTCTTCCAGGGCAGCTCACTCTCCACTCTGCTGGTGAAGAAAACACGTGAGCACTTCCTAATCTGCTTCAGAACAGAGTCCACAAAGCTGGCACAAACCATGTGCTCAAACTGATTGTGGTAACTCACACACTCCAGCTTGAAGCAGATTTGGGAGCAACCAGCCCTCGCACTGACAGAGCTCTGGAGAACAAGCACCTTTTAAAGGCAGAAGTGACCACAAGGTGAACAATAAAAGTGGCACTGTGTGAGAAACTTGATTGAAACAGGCAGTTTTCTTGCAGGGACAAAAGAAATCACTTGCATGTGGCACTACCTCTTGCCCAAGCTGCTGAGCAACCTTCTTGTAGAGGTTAAACTCAGGCTCTGAGAGGAGTTGCTTCACCTTCTTGCCTAATGTTAACTAATTCCACTCGAGAGTCAGGAACCCGCAAGGAGACGAGAAATTAAATAAGGACTGCTGGCTGCTGTAAATGTAGCATAGATCTTCTTCCAGAGAGCCAGATCCCAGCAAGCGACTGGCAGCTGGTGGCAGGAGCAGGTTGTTAACCTCTAGGAAACAGTCTAAAAGCAGTGAGGGAAAATGGAAGAACATAAGTGTTTAATTCCTGGATGAATAGTGAACAATCTCTAATTTCCTCCTTGGAAATCAGGAGAGTAAATGAAATCAGTGGTGGAAGGCCAACAGGAGATGCTGCTACCCTACAGCACATGGATAAACTGAGGACCTCCATGCCCCAGGAGCGTGCCAGAATCGGATTGCTTCACTTAAGAAACAACTCTGTGAGCACACAGCTATTAGTCACTCCAACCTCACCTCTGGCCTGAGGAGCCGCAGCGTTCCGGATGCCAGGAGACAGCGCTAAGGAAAACACTGCTGCATGTTTGCCTTGCTCTTGGCACTGCTCTGGTGCCAGGTGAGCAGGAACTAGTTGGTCCTTCAGCCCCAGCCAGTCCAGCTGACCGTGTGTGATTTGTCACAGACAGAAGGAGATGACGACTCTGTGCCGCTCCTTTGGTAACTGTGAGGTTCCAGCATCTCTGGGGTGGGGTGGCACCCACTCAGCCACAGCTCTGTGGACACAAGGAGGGGTGTGGGCAGTGGGAGGAAGCCTTCACAGGTCCAGCTGATCCTCTTGTCCTCCCTTAGCCACAGCCCTGCCRGGCAGTGGAGGAGGAGCAGGGGTAGGATCAGTCCTCAATTCCAGCGCTCCAAGATTCAAACCCCATTTGCAGCAGCCCTACGGACACAACAGCAGAAAAGTGCTATTTGTTCATCTGGCAAGGACACACAGTGCCACAAAGGGACATCAGGGCATCTCCTACCCCGCAAGCCAGCAGCTGGCCATCAGCACAGACCATGGGGAACAAGATCAGACCAATTTTACCTTTCTTAGACAGTCCCAGGCACAGGACAGGGCATCCCCAGCCACCATCTGCATACACTGGAGCTCCCCATCCTCTGCCCTGTGTCATCTGCTGCCCATCTCCAATGGGTCACAGCACAGACCTGCTGTGCTTTGGGATTTCCCATGCCCTGAGTCAATCTCCTGGAGCTGGCCAGCCCCAGCAGAGACCCAAGCATTGCCACTGTCCTGCCTGATGCTTTGACCCCATTTATTCCCCCCCATACACTACCCCTGGRAAGGGGAGAAGGAGGATGCCCAGCAGCAGCTCCCGGAGGTGCAGGTGCTCCAGGCATAACTCTCCTGCTTCGTTTTCTTCTTTTTCACAAGCTGAACTGCAGAAATYGAAAATTGTTCCTGCATGAAGGACTTTAGGCAGGATTTAAATTAGGAGGAAGAAGTCTGGAGAAGTGATTTTGCCTTCCACAAGAACTAGCTTTGACTTCTGCTTCTCCAAAGCTCCCCACCTTTCTTGTTCTCATGTCGAAATGAGTGCACATGGTTTTACAGCCTGCAAGGGAATAGCCCTGTTTCAGCATTGTGCTGCCATGGGGTGAGATCAGTTCAGGAGCCTGGAGAATCCAGGGTGAGAAAGAAGGAAAAGGGAGATCACAGACAGCATGTGCTCTGCCAACCTTGAGCTGATTACATCCTCCTGACTCATGGGAAGGGTAACCCTGCCAGCCCGTTCCTCTCTTGTGAGTTGACTGGAGTGCCCTTGGGAGTTTGCAATCTTGTAAAACTCTCTGAGCCCCACAGCCTGAAAAAAGGGCAGGGAGGGGGAAGGGAAAAAAGAAGTAAAAGAAAACAAAGAAAGCAGGGAAAACTGCTGTTCTTGCATGTGATTTCCTTGACGCAGATAGCAGGCAGCTGCATAACCTCAGAGCAAGGAGCAATTGAGTTCATGGAGGGCTGAGTATTCTTGAGGCTTCAACACCCATCAGTAAAGAGCCCCAGGACATGGAGTACATCCAGAACACCCCAGGACATTGTGGATGTACAGCACAGCAGCTCCTCTGAGGGAGCCAGGCTCTGGCACAAGTGGCTCAAGTGCTGCCAGGGGAGCCCTGACCTGAGATCCTGAAGACGGAAATAAATAAAGCCAGGCCTGAGCAATAATGCCAGGAAAATCAAGTCTGGGTGCTTCTAACTCCACCACATTTTTTAGTTCAGCGTCTGCCCAGGGGTGGCTTAGGAACAGCTCATCCTGCTGGGAAGTGAGAACACATCCCAGATCCTTYCCAACAGGTTTTTCACATTCCAATGGGCAGTAACCAAACTGGATAGCTTGAAAAATTTGCTGACAAACTTTTGGAAGTGGTGAAGGTTTTGGTTTTTTTTAAGGGCAGACCCCACGTGGGGCTGCTGATGAAGGAATTATTTTGGAGTTTCCCTCAAAACGGAGTGCACGGCTGCAGAGAGCAGGGATGCCAGTATCTCTGTTAGAAGCCTTTTCGAAGCACAGGCACACCCATGCTCTGCCAGCGACAAGGGAACTCCTCTGGGCACAGCCTCTGACATTTATTGTTTTTCCCCACACAGCCGCTTGGCTCCAGGAAATGCGAAAGAGCCGGGYACCTTTGGGACTCCCCTACGTGCCGCCTTGATCGTCCAAACCAAGACTGTTCCCTGAGGGGCTGAAAAATTACATGAGGGGAGATAAAAACCTCACCTGGGGAACGGAAAAAACAAACAAACCTCATCAGACAGAGATCACCCAGCACGGGGAGGAGTGCTCTGTCACCCAGCAGCTTTTCCTGCCCCCGAACCTCCCCCTCGCTGCCCGCGCTGCGCTCGCACGGCAGCAAAGCGGTTAAATCCCTGTCCAGCGGGTGATCCCGCCCAGGTTTTGCCTCGCTCTTGGGGCGGCGGGCGGCTGCCCTTGGCCGTGCCGTGCCGTGCCGGGCGGGGCGGAGCGGGGTGCGGCCGGGGCCGGGTGCGCCTCCGCCGGGTCCCGCTGCTGCAGCCGCGCCATGCGGGTCCCGCTGCCCGCGCTGCTCGGCGGCTCGGCGCTGCTGCTGCTGCTGCTGCGATGGCGGCGGCGCCGGGCGCTCTGGAGGAAGGTGGCGGAGGCGCAGGAGCGGCAGGAGCGCAGCCTGGTGCGGATGGACGCGGTGGCGCGGCGCTTTCGGGAGCAGGTGAGCGCCGGCAGCCGCGGGCCCCGCTCCATCCCCGCGGCCGGGGGCTCCTCGGTCCCTGCGAGGGCCAGTGCTCGCCCGGCTGTCAGGTGCTCTCCTGGCTCCTCGTATGGACCCACGGGCGTTTAGTGTTATTATTTTCCTTTTCTAAGTCGGTGTGTGCGGCGACTGAGAGCATCGCAGCGATCGCCGCTGTCGCAGCGATGGGGAGGAAGCGCTACCTGGGGCAGCGGGGGATARCGGGATAACAGTCACAGGCGGGGAGGAAGGGAAGATCCCCGCCGGCGTGGTGGGAGGCTCGGGCTGGCTGAGGAGGCAGCAGGAAGAGGYGACAGGCGATGTGTTATCAGCAGAGGCCAAAGTGCAGCCGCAGCCGCAGGCAGGGATGCGGTGGTGCCCCGCGATCCCGGCAGGCAGACTCGCTCAGGTTCAGAGTCCAGCTGGAGGCGTGAGGTTCGATGCTTTTTTCGTGGTGTGGAGTTGGTGGTGATGAAACCCCTGCTGACCCAAAAATGACCAGCCAGGGGGTTCCCTGGTTTTTGCGCTTCCCCGGGCAAATATCTTGGTGGTGCCAGGAGAAGAGCTGACTCTGGTTTCATTCCTCGATAGAATGATGTTTATGAGCATGATACCAGCTCCCACYGCAGTTCAGCAAGAGCCTCGAGCTAAGGCATCCCCCCCCAGGTTCAGCCATGACCTGTCTGAACAAGGCTGCATGAAAGGCTTTGTCTGAATTAGCAGGTGCTTGGTGTGACTGGTCTGAACAGGAAGGAAGGCTGAGAAAGCCCAGGCTGATAGTGGCCCTGAGGGTTTCCCACCGTGTTCACAGGTGCTAGGGTAGGGCAGGATGTGGTCTTGGGGCAGATACTACCTTTCCTGACTAAACAGCAGATATTTTCTGGGTGAGTTACAGAGGGAAGCAAGGAGAAAGGAGGAAGCCATCAGCTGAAGTAGAGGTGTGTCATTGCCTGTTCAACCTTTCCCGTAGCATCCTTCYGTGGACGTGGTCTCCATCCTCTCTCTGCCTTTGCCGGAGCTCACCAAGAAACTCCGAGATGGCTCCCTCCCTCCAGACCACGTCTTCTACGCCTATGTGGGCAAGGTGAGGAGCRAGGGTGGCAGGGCAGCATCTCACCCACCGTGGGGCTGGCTTTTTTGGGGAGGAGCCCAGCACAAGGTCCAAACCTGGCTCAAAAGCTGCTGAGCTGTCACTGCTTGCTGGTACGTGATGGGCCCTTCTGTGCTGTTCTGTGAGTGATTAGAGAGATGGGCATCTGGCTACCATMGCTCTCTGCTTGGCTTGGAAGAAAAAGGAGCAGCAAGCAACATCTGCAGAGCCTGTACCTTCCTTGGGGAACCCACAGCTTCCCTGGGGCAGGTATATCTGTAGGGAAGTCACAGAGTGCTGCTGTTGTTTTCCCTCCATCTCCAAATGGGGTGTTAAACCTCAAAAAGTCAGTGTTCACGTTCATTATCTACTTTTGCCGTAATGTTCTGATCACTTCCTGAGTTCCCTCTTTGGGATTATCATTTTTGCCACCCCAGAAGCTCAAACAAGAGGTTGTCCATGGTGTCTGAGCTGAGTGCCTCCATCACACACAAGTGGGTGCGATGGCCCTGYTGTRTCCAGGAAYAATTTCAGAGTTTGGCATGAAAATRKCTTGAAAAGTAGCAGGAAGGGCTRTCTTGATCCCAGCTGTGCAGATGGGGAGGTGGAAAAGGGGGAAGAGGCARGTGTCCTTTGCAGCACAGAAGGTCCCTGTGCAGTGCTGCAGGCTGTGAMTCACCTGTGGGCTTGGTCTGCTTTCCCCAAGGCCCTCCAAATCGCCACAGAAACCAACTGCATCACAGAGTTCCTTCAGGAAAGCGAGGCCCAGCTCCGCAAGGCCAAGCTGGTGGGAAAGGAAGAGCGGGGTCTGCTCTATGGGGTGCCAGTCAGCATCAAAGACTCCATCGACTGCCAGGTACCGCCAGCACAGTTCTGTGTGTCTCCCAAAATCCCTGTGGGTTGAAGTTTGGTGGCAGGGGGAGCTTTGAGCTCAGCACTGGGCTTGGCTTTGTCACAGCTGATGTGGGATGAGCTGCCTGGGCAGGGGAGGGGATTTGCTGCCCATGTCTCGTGTTAACCAGCGGGGAATGCTGGTCACACACCATCAGTACACCCTGGAGCATGTGTGGGGTGGGTGGGTTGTTGGAGGTRCAGGTATGTGCTTAAATGTATTGATAAAAGTACAGGGGCAGGGGGAACTGCAGTCCATCTGAAAACCCCATTGTCCTGTGTTCCCAGGGTCACGATTCCACGCTGGGGTTCATAAAAAACCTCAATAAACCCGCAGCAGAGGACAGYGTGGTGGTGCAGGTGCTCAAGAGACAGGGGGCAATTCCATTTGTCAAAACCAATGTTCCCCAGTCCCTCATCAGGTAGGTGGGTGTTCCATTCCCTCAGCACAGCAGCAGTGCTGCCTTCCTCTTCTCAAGGGAGGGTTTCTATCTGGTCTTATTCTCATTTCCCACTTCTTTTTATGTAACAACACCTGGTCCCCATTCTTTGTTATCTGCAAGTTTCACTTCAAAAAGTAAACACATTTATTACACTGAGGATGAAAATTAACTCTGATTCCAAATGAAATGAAAAACAGAAGAGGCAGAGGAGAGGAGAGAAACTGTTGCCCTTCTGTCCTGTAATGGGTGTTTTTAAATCACTTTTCTTTACATCTTTTTTTTTTTTAAATAAACCTCTGAGATGATCCTATTAACTACAGTATAAACAGATTAATGGAAGGGGAAGCTAGTTAACAGACTCAAATTATTCTGCCCCCAAACTCCTGTTGTATCTGTCAGGACCCCTCTTGGTGTCATTGATATGGGGTGAGCTCAGGTGTGCCCTTCTATTGTCCCTGTGTCCTGCCAAGTGAGCTCTGGCCCAGATCCTCTGTGGGTGACCATTGTCCAAACCCTGTGAAATGCCATCCTTAAGGTGATGTGGCAACAACAGACCGTGGTTCAAAAAAGCCACACAAAGAGGTTGCCCCAGGGATTATCAGATTTTGCGCCAGTTTTTGGGGAAGTCCAGTCTCAAACATCTCTGCAGTTGGTATTTGGCCTGGTCTCAAGTGGGGGCTCAGCTGTGGGTATCCTGTGGCACTTGGGACTGTCTGAACAGGGAGACTTTCCAGGAGGGTTCATGTATTTGTGGTTCTCTCTGGGATAGGCTTAATGACACTGAAATTAGCTGTCAGCGAATTCAGGTCCTGGGACCACCAGGAAAAGGCTGGTGAGAACCTCCCTCACACTGAGTGACGTCAATTTAACAATTAGTGAATTACCTAATTGACTGCTCAAGGGCTTTTTGTAGTGGCAGGGCTCCAGAACAGCAGATACCTGCATTCCTCATTTCCCATCTCTCTCTCTCTCTCCCCTCAGCTATGACTGCAAGAATTTAATCTTTGGTCAGACACGCAACCCCCTGCTCTACACCAGAACCCCTGGGGGCTCCTCTGGCGGAGAAGGGGCACTGGTAGGAGGTGGTGGGTCCATCCTGGGCATTGGCACAGATGTAGGAGGGAGCCTGCGTTTCCCTGCTGCCTTCTGYGGGATCTGTGCAATCAAACCCACTGGGAACAGACTCAGGTACTGTGAGAACTGCAGCGATGTCTCTGGGTGAGACCCACTCTKCCAAACACTGTGCTGGATGATCCTGCTCCTGTGGGCAAGGGAAACTGGGGAGGAACTGCGAAGGGCTCTTTATCCATCCTGCCTGGGCAATATCCAAGGGCTATTGGGAGGTTCCCACCAGAATGAAGGTGGGGAAACTTCTTCATCTGCATGCCAAGGGGATGGTTATTCCTGACTGACAGGACCTAAATCGCTCAGGCCTAGGCTGAGTCTCTCTKGGGCTTCCCCTCGGCTCTTCCTTCTGCCAGCCTTCATTTCTGCAGGTTTAATTAATGCTTGCTACTGCTTAAAGCCTTTCCCTTTAATGAAAACTACTCAGCTGTTGTGTTTTGTGTGTCTCTTTTCTTTGCAGCAAAAGAGGAATAATGTCYGGAGTCGTGGGGCAGAAGGCAGGTAGGAACTGACGTCTGTCACCCTGCAGCAKACAGGGGTGAGAAGGATCCTCAGCTGGCTTTGGGGGACTTTCTCCATCACCTTTAGAGAGAAGCAGGTTCCCTTTCAAGGACTTTTTCAGAGAGCTGCCCCCATACTGTGATTTCTGAGAAACTCAAATATACATGAACTGGGAGGAGCAGCTTATGTAGCACAAACCACAAAACAACCTGTTACCCACAGGGTGTGGCCTTGTCTGCCGCTGGAGATGGGATTAGCTGTYAAAAGGGGTGAGTGATGCTGCCTTCATGCCATGATTGACAAAGCTTTTTGTTTATTTTTTTTGTGAGTCATGACATGGGGACACCAGGGTGCCTACTGATGGTGACAGCTCTGTGTCCATAACGTTGGACCTGCGGGTGGGAAGACACTTGCAGGCATTCCCTGCCCTATTCTTAAAGAGAAGTGTTGCCATCACTAGACAAAGACAAAACCAGGGTTTTGCCAAGGGGTCCTGGTTTTGCAGAACGTGCCCTTAAAAGACYCTCAGCCATGAATGCCTCGTTGTGGTCTCTTGCAGTGGCTGCAGCAGTGGGGCCGCTGGCAAAAGACGTGGAGAGCCTGGCGCTGTGCCTGCGGGCGCTCCTGAGCGAGGACATGTTCAGCCTGGACAGCACAGTGCCACCCCTGCCCTTCAACGAAGAGGTACAGAACCCTCAGGGGTGTGTGGGGAGAGAGAGCTGCAGGCTGGAAACGCTGACCCTTGGGTGG